CTCCCTAGTCCGGCACCACGCGCTTTGGCCATAGCTCGACATCCTTGTGAAGCAAGTCGAGGTGACCCATGACTGTAGACCCTTTCAAAGGTCATAAAAAAGCATGATCATTTGTGGACATTAATTTTTCTGATATTTAATAGTCTGCGTGATACACTTCAAAAGAATGTATTAGTGTTTCGTACCTGCAGTTCGTTCAACAAAATATACTGTTGAAGTATCTCATTTAGAACTTTTATAGCATTACAGCCGGTGAAAACCCAACATCAGTTGTTGTTACCTTCAACCCTCACGACCTCCGTTAAATCGAGAGCACAGAGGCGATTCTTCATCCCTATTCGTAACCGCTAAAGCTCCATGGATGTAAGTTGAGGGGAATCTCCTACTTAGCAAGCGGAACCGTCTTCCTCTTGCCCATTAAGGCAGGTAACATAGTAAAGGATGTCTCGTCCCACCTTCGGTTATGACCAACTGCCGCCTAAGCCTATTAAAGCAGTCTCAGTCGTCAATTGTGGGGGCCACAGTTTTTAATTTACTCAGCTCGGTTAAGCTAATTGTATCAGTCGCAAAAAAGTGAGTTCTGAACTTTGAATCGTCTGGCCCTGTAGCCATGTAATGAATTGTCTTACGAACTGAGGAAATTCAATCGGAGTCATTAGAGATCCCTGCTCCTCTCTTCTGTATTCAATTTAGAACTTTTTCTCTACCGAAACTTCAGTTGAATGAAATTTTTTTGAATCACCATGGTCACAGTAGTAGAAGTAATTAAAGTACTTGGTAAAATGAAAAGATAAATGAAAGTCGATCATGGATTTCATTGAAACATTTTATTCTCCGGTTTTTCAAATGCGGTTCCACACTTATCTGGAAGAAGTGCAATTTTATCGTAGGGGTTGAGGGTTGCTAGAGTAAGGTTGAGCACCTGAATATCATGTAGATTCATTGCAATTTGAATGTGAATTTTGATGAAAATCCACGGTACTAAATGTTTGTTTGTGGGCTTGTAAGTAAGTGCTTGGTCAACAAATAGTGCACGACTTCCTTCCTGAAGGATACATAGCTTCGGAGCCTGTTAGGAATGCAGGTGGTGAGACTGCGATCCATATGGTAGGTGAAAGAGGACTGGTAACAGGCCTGATGAGAATTTCTGGTAAGGAGGAGCTTCTTAATTTGGTAGGTATGCCACTCAGGTTATCAGTGACATCTGGAGATATCCGTGTGAGTGAATGGCTGCGTCCATTGGCGTCCATGGCTGGACTTATTACAATGCAAACTCTGAACTCTCTAAATAACAGCATAGATTTGGGAGTGTTTAGTAACAACAATTCATGGATTCTGCATGCCTTACTTAAATTGAACTGCTGTCTTCGTGAGTGATACTTATCGCCTGCATGAGGGATTGCATCACGGGGGTATAGCTCAGGGGTAGAGCGCTCGCTTCGCATGCGAGAAGTCTGGGGTTCAATTCCCCATACCTCCAAAATCTTTTTGCGATTCCCAGTTGAACCATTGAAGGTTAACTATGGAAAGAGGAATGGCGAAATACACATAAGCCTAGGAATAGAATTTTCTGTAACGCTTCATTTCTCTTTGAAGGCGGTGGAGAATAATGCGATGGAGGCGAAGAAATCACGGGAATCGTTCTTTCCAAAGTGGTAGAGGACTTCGAAAATGGGACTGGACGAGAATAAGACCAGAAAAATGAGGAAGACGTGCATTACGTGTGTCCGAGGACGCGCGCGGCAACTTACGCGGCGAAGTTCGTGACGATTTGTACGACTCTGACGCCAATTTTTGGGGCACCAACTAGAAGTAGAGTAATTTAGTAGGGTCAGATGATCCTTCCAATCTACTCTACTTCAAATTCGAGCCCCAATGGTAGGCGCTGGAGTCGTTCAACGTTACGAACTTCGCCGCGCAATTTACCGCGCACACCCTCGGACGCACGTAAGTCCACAGACCCGACGAATGAAGTGAAAGAGTTGTTTGGACGGGCTATACAATGTGTGTCATTGCGTACGTGTGGATCCTGGCGCGATAGCATACTACAGTAAGCAAAAATGTCTTTCAAACCTTATTCATTCACAAGCACAAATTATAAAAACACTTTTAACAGCAAAAATAGCCCCCTTTTTCAACCTCTTAGGTAGAAAACTGTGTAAAGGACCTAGCAGCAGAAAGAATGAGAGAAAAAAGAATCGGAGAAGAACATTGCCACATCTTCCGGAGGTCAGCTGATTGCTCCTGCTGTGTGCCCTGGCGCGAATATTGCAATCTGTACTCCTCGACACCCGTCTGGCACCCCATCGGTTGATCTCTTATTATGATGATCAGAACTCCTATTATGCTCCAGCTTTTGAGTTTTTGGACTCGACAGCGTTCTTTCTGTCACCATTGGGGGCCACTAGGCAATCCTGAGGGGAATGTAAGAAGCCATTTTTATCGTAAACTGTGCCTTGGGTGCCAATTTACGGGCCAAGAATTTATGTCGAGTGAGCATTCGTAATCGATTTCTTCTCAGGGAACCTGTGACTGAATAGTTTAGTCCATATGGGTATCAAACCTATTGAGGTGGAATGTCAGTCACAACAAACCGGGATTGTATTCTCGAACATGTTTGGGTGAGGTAACTTGCTAGAATCTACTTAGAGATCATTTTACTTGGGAAACATTTCCGAATAATTTTCGAATTGACAGAAACCTTGCCTAGGGGTCCGATAACTCCAAGCTAGTGAGTTCCGGAAGGAAAACATGAAGGCACAAAACTGGTAAGTATAAAACCCCTAATATGTAATTCATGGTCGACTGTTGCTCTGCCATCTGTCACGCTAGTTGTAACGAAGAGCGCTGGCCTCTCGTGATAGTGGCTAATCTGAATGTATATCAAAATTTTCAAGCTTCTTCAATTGCTCTAATGAGTGGCTTTCCCAAGAACTGCTAGTTCTCTCCGACCATGTACTCTGGAAGGAACACCAGCGGGTGGTACTGCTCATGAGAAATCGAAAATGTTATGAATTTCTTATTTTCTTCAGTTACTCTGCCTCATTTCCATGATCAGCGGCG